CGGCATTCCCGTGATCGAACTCTCACTCTCCCTCTCTCTAACTCTCTGTCTCCCTTCCTCTTCCACCCCTTTCAACCATCCCCCTAGGCCACGTTTGTCTCGCATGCTCGTTCTATTCGCAAATACCGGTACGGTAACGTCTCGATGAGTGCGACATACTCGGGTCCACTTGGGAGCATTCATGGCAAGGCGAAAATGATTTTAGCCCCTCAGAAATTTGTTTTTCACTCCGAAGTTGAGCCTCTGGTTAACTTCTGTTTACTCTGTTTTGATTGGTTCCAGAAGGGAACGCTTCCAGTGGTGGGAATAACGCCGTTGCTGGTGTCGCATTCATCGAGGGATCACAGTACAGTAGACTCTAACTATATTGCCACATTTTTGCGCAGGCGCTGAGGCCGAGGCCATGGCGACAGAACTTAGCTTGGAGGGGGCTCTGAACTCATTGCCATTTTATTCCTCAACAGCCCCGAATATGGCAATATAGTTAGAGTCTACTGTATATACCTCGTTCGATCGATCCTGTTTCACGCGATGTCCACTTCGTGTGAATCGCGAATTCGCAAGAATGCTCGCGGATTCCAAGAAAAAAATTTCGGAGAAGCAGAGGCTTTGTTCATCGAATGACGCAAATCTTCGAGCTAGAGAAAATGTAGGAGTCGACGATCGAGGCGAGAATGAGCGAGACGGATAGACAGAAATCAAGTGTGCGTGCGTGTATGAGAGAGAGAGAGAGAGGCCGAGAATGATTTTGAACTTGAAAAACGAGCGTGGAATCGATTCGGAGATTCGTTCGTCGATCCTTGTTCGTCTGGAAGGTTAAATCAAGGAATGATTCTCAGGTGATGTGCCATCATCGAGAAAGTTTTTAGTTCGTTCTTAGGCCAGACCGAGTAACCCGCACAAAATTTTGTGCCTCGGTGAAACTCGTTCGATGATGAGAAGTCGCGACTTTTCAATTCCGATCGCAAAAAGTGTCCACGAGAGACGGACTACTAACGACGCCGAGGGATTCGGCGATTGTACGATAAACAATCTAAAGGGGTGGATTGTCGCTCGGGCCGAAAGATTACGAATGAAGGGTACGTTTACGTTGGAGCTGCGACAACAGCGAAGAGAAAGAAATATTTATTTCTCGTACATATAATAAGCATTGCTCAGCTCCAATATGAACATTTCCATTATAAAACAATAGATTGTATTTCTATGCTTCGTTCATACCGTTCTGATCGTTTATCGCAGCTCCAATAAGAGCGTACCCTAACTTTTAGACGCGTCTCGACGATACATTGGGCTCTAGTAAGTGGTAAAGAGGAAGAGTTTCGCGTTTCCTAATAAACACTGAGAATCAGAGAGATATACAAAGATGGAAGCAGATCGTTAGAGAGGGAGGGAAGGGGGAGAGCGTACGTGTAACTGACCGTGCAATTATATTTTCGTCGGAGCGATGAATGATCGATTCGCGTATCGATTTTCCCATTTGAACACGCGAACGAAGTTCCGTTGGGGATGGAGCAGAGGGCGCCAATAGAACGTAACAGGGATAGAATTCGAAACGAAAGAAAAAAAAAAAATTGGGATGGAAGGAAATCTTTCGATCGCGATTAAGGAACGTTCGAACGCAAATGTCTTCTCCGACGACGAAATATCGAACACGGTATATGTACTCGGAATTCGAGAAGGTTTTCGACCGATATTCGGTCGAACAATATTCGAGCACGGCCTTACAGGCGAACTCGTCGACTGATCGCAGAGGGATTACAGGTAAACTTGATCGTTAGTCGTATCGAATGATTAATAGATCGTGGCAACGTGACTATCTATAAACTAACAATTATTAAGTATGCTTCTGTACAATGCAAAGTGATTTGAAGTATCGTTAGTTATCGTTATCATTGGTATCGGCCCACCCCAGTCCCCCCTCCCCTCCCGATCGTGATCGTTAACACGTCATACTTTCCTTCCACTTCTTCTTCGTCTACTTTACCGTTATTGTATCGATCATTGCCACCAGCACACGTCGTCGCGACGCACGATTCGTACGCAATTATGTATTTTCGGGGGTAACGCGCGAGTAGACGCGCGCGACATGACCGGTGGTGCAACGTAAATCGTTTTTTTTTTCTTCTTCTCTTCTTCTTCTTTATCGTTATATCATCTTTCAACATTAACCCATAATCGTGTTTAAATATATGTACCTCAACGTTCATATATATAATATAATCAACAAAACTCGTAACACGAACGTCGCTCGTTTCTTGCTCGAAAAGCGATTAGTTTAATTGATAGTTCACGAGCAACAGGCGTCGCGAATAATAAATTATTATCGGTAATATATTACTCTTTTCGACTGTGCCGACTAACTATTCATATATACATGTAACGCGTGAATGTTTTTTTTTTTTTCATGTACGTGTGCACGCGTGTGTGTCTGTTCTGTGTGTCCCCGTGTGTTTTGTTCTTCTTGTGTCCTGCTCCCTCCTTACTTCCGTCTTTCGCATGTCGGACGCGCGAACGCATTTTCCGCGTGTGTTGCTCTGTATATATATATATATGTATACATATATACATATATATAAGTGTTACATATGTATACATTTTCGCGTACGTACGGTATAATTGGTACGATCCAGATATTATCATCGACGATTGTTTTACAGTTAATTATTTCCCCATAACACCTATATTATTATTATTGCTGCAGCTTTATAGACACCCACCTTTTCCCATTCCTCGCATGTACCACCTCGTTTCAGCGTTCCATTTCTTACCTTGTTCCAGCATTTTATCCTCCGCGGCGAGACCGATCGTTCATTTTTTTTCTTTTTCTAGACAACGCGCGATCTCCGCGAAATATCACGCCCGGCTTTCGACGAAACGTATCGATTCGAAACGCTCTGAAGCGACGAAAACGAACGGTCTGACGGGATCCGTGAAACGCACGGTTCGTTTCATCCTCATCCTCGTCGTTGTTGATTTACATCTCGACGAGGCACGCGATAACCACGAAACGAAATGCTCGGTATTTGATCGGATCTAGAGTTCGGATCCAGATCACCGTTCGGTTGACTGTAAATCAAAGGTCGGCGCGAAACCAAAGACGTTCCATCGAACTCTAGACAATTTCCGATAAAGGCGCGCGTGGTAACGAAACAACAGACGGATTAATGTCTATAGAACCGAAAACCAGCACAATATTAGCTACTTACGCTTCTAAAGGAAGATAAATCTATTCTTAGACTGCGGATTTTTATGCGAAATGACACTTTTTAAAGTAATTTTTTAAGACAACAGCAAAGATATGAATTATTTTTCTTTTCTGAAATATCTTATGTTCAGAATAAAGTAGAAAACACATTTCACCCATTGAAAGTTTTCTCTCTCTTGTATTACACAAAGCCCTATTGGCTATAAATGCATAAAATCCGCAGTCTATTTATAATTGCGACGCGCTTGGAAATTCGTCCCTGCCAGTTTTCCCGCGACACGAACTGCGTACCGATATCGATTCTTCACGATCTGCGGTTCCCGTCGAAACGGAATCGTTTCGGCTCGAATAACTCGTTGAATCGCTATATAATATGTCAATCGAACCGTGTCTACAACCGATTCGGGCGTTCGATACCGCGAAAATCGCTGATTCGGACAGCTGCTGCTGGGTGAAGTGGTATGGCCTAAAATGTGTACGCTTCGAATCGTATGATATGTAGCGGGAGCAGACGGAAACTTATCGACTGGCTTCGAACGCGTTCGAAGTCTGGCAACACGGAGGAATTCATTTCCAAGCTCGGCGCAACATCACAGTCGAAATAACGCACCCGGATGGACAGTTCGCGATTTCGCGTCCCAGCTACGAAAACGTCGCGTTCGTTGAGCACGGGAGAAACGTCAAAGTCTCGAGAACGAAAAAACTAAAAAAAAAAAAAAAAAAACAGGGAGGATACTCGATCGAGTTTAGGCTTGTGTTCGGCGAAAAGACACGCCGAGTCGGACCGAACCGAACCGAACCGTAAGTTTACGCGGTTATCGGTTCGCCAGGTTGCGATACGCGACAGGTACGCGGCCAATGCCTCGGTTACCGTTCCGTTTTCGTCCTGGCAGAACCGTTACCGTTCCAACCGCGAGAGATTACGTCTCTGTCGCTTCCAGCAGAATCCGTCAGGTGACGAAACGTGCTACTAGGGGATTAAAAAAAAAAGTCGGGTGTCGAACCGAGAATCGAACCCGAGATCTTCCGTTTTCAGTTTGCCGGACCGTCGGTGATTCTTCTTCTTCTTCTTCGTCTACTGATTCACTGAACCTAGACACCGTTGCTGTCCTCCGTTTGAACGGTCAACATACGTGTTCGCGGAACGATACGTAACTAAACGGCGGAATTGTCCGCGCAGCGGATTCGCTGGAAATCGAACGAGACGAGAGCGACGATACCGTCGAAATCGATGCAGTCACAGCGACGTAACGACGTTCGTGCATATACAACGGCAGCGACGGCGGCGATGACGATGATGATGATGATGATGATGATGATGATGATAGCGATGATGATGACGGTGACAGCAACGATGATGATGAAGATGGCGACGACAGCAGTGACGGTGTTGCATCGTCCTCCGAGCAGTCCGCTTGTCCTCGTTGTTCCAGCGTGGTCTGGACGCCGGAACGCGTGCACGCGCGACAGGAGGACAAACCCGACGACGACGATCGAGGGCGGAACGAGAAGCGGCGTACGTCGATGGGACCAAGTACGAGATCACGGCCGAGCCGGTTACTGGTTGCCGCGACGGGACGGTCGAGCACGCTGCCGACCGCTCTGATATCGCTCGGATCGCTCTGATCGCTCGACTTCGACACGGCGTAGAACTGCCCTGCGTTTCCGCTCGTTTTACCTGCGTTATGATGCTGCCGTTGGTTCGTATTCGCGTACACGACGGCGACCTCTTTGGACTGCTCTGGAAAATAAACGTCGTGATATTCGCGCGGCTAGTACGCGCCACCCTTCCTCGATTCAGCTACAGTGGACTCTAACTATATTGCCACTGAACATATTGCCCCGCGAGGCACTTCCCCTTCCCACGTACTTTCCATTACACACATTTTTTTCAAGGTTTTCCCCCCGTAAATAAAAACAAAAAAAAGAGGCTATGACGATAGAACTTAACATGGAGGGGACTCTGAATTCATTGCCATTTTACTCCCCTACAGCCCCGACTATGGCAATATACTTACAGTCCACTGTATAAAACAATTCATCGAAAAGCATGGTGACTTTATAGAAATTTCAATCAGTGTAGCATTCGACTAGAAAATTCTAAGGAGATACCTGATTGCGGCGTTCACAGTCCAAAGTATCCACCGACGGTGGTGGCCAGAACGATGACGAGTATGGTGACGCATATCATGATCATGATCTTCTTCTGCGCTCGGCAAAAACATAATTATCGATTACAGGCGAGTACGCGGGTAAACGATATGTTCCTAGATTGGGAATCCTTCCCGATCCTCTCCTCTCCTCTGTATGCGTAGGTCCATGTGCAGCGAACACGGCATTGTTCCGCCGTTAGCCGCGACGCGGGAGTCCATTTTAAATCGCAACTCGTGCCTCTCTGTGCGCGCGCGCCTCTGCCCAAACTCTGTCCCCTTACGCTATCGTCTCGATCGTGAAAATCTAGAAGAACGCTCGTGCGTGTCTCCCTTAGCGCGATAAGAATCAGACTTTCCCGCTCGTAATCGTACGTATTATTATACATCTGTTCTCTATTACAAATGCAATTATTTACAGAAAATGCGTGGCCGCCTAAATCGTGACCGATCGCGACCACAACGCGTCGTGACGCGTTGTAACACCTCGTGACACGTCGTAATACGTCGAGAATCGAACGTTCTCGCGAACTCCTCGTTTCGGTTGTCACGTGTCCCGAAATACACGAATTACGGCGTCGCGTTATCCTATTGCACCAGGACGCTCGTGTGTCCGAAATCACGGAACATGTAATAATCTAAAACGGACAACCAGGAAACCGAACACGGTCGATGCGAGTTGCCGAAAAAAAAAAAAAAAAAAATCAAACGGTACACGCGGTACATACATAATCGTCTTTTTGTTCCGATCGAGTGGGGTCGGTTCTGTTGTTCGGTTCTGATCACGGTAACCGAAACTCTGGCCGGAACGAAAAACCGTGCTCTCTCATTCGCCGATCCATTCGCGCGACTGGCCTCGCGCGCGTTTCTCACTCCGAAAAAAATTGTTCGTCACGTTGCTCGGGATCTTCTTTACAACGCGATCGCCAGAATAATTGCGAGAACGACGAACGCTACCGTCAGGCAAATTATGATGAACATCAATTTCTGTGAACAGAACACAAGATCGCTGTCACTTGGACGTGAACGTGCGCCATCTACCCGTTTGGACGGGTAATCCGATCCTCGGAAGGAGACTCGTTCGAACTCGGAGGTAGCGCCGGGACGACGGATGATCTCGTAGAATCGAATAGGATGCGCCATCTCCCGGAAGCGGTACCACGTCCGTTTATCGACAAGTCCAGATATCATATAAGTATCGATCGTCGACGGGAGCCGTCGAGGGAAACGGCGGCGATACACAACAAAGGACAGAGAGATGATCGGCAAGCTGTTGTCGACGAATCGATTCGCCTGCCTCTCCTAGTCCTCCTCGATTCACCAAATTCCGGCTAACGAGCTCGCCGGGAGCCGTACCGTCGAATCGAAGACCAGAGGAAAAACGAAAACCCTGGAGGACGTTGGACGACGAATCGACTCGGACGACACGCGCGACGTTCATGCTATGGAACGAAGCCGTTAGTAGATCGGGTTAAAGAGGTGTCGTTAACGGGCATGTTAGTTCGGAGTTGGAGGTCAGAGCCGAGTAGTCAGAGCCAAACTGTTTTCGAGATTCTTCGACGTGTATTCTAAAGCCGCGTATTCAAGCCAGACGATAATCGAGAGGAGTCTGTAGTTGCTGCTCTCGCCCGGGAACGATCTATTCCGTGTGTGTCATAAAAATGGAATTGTGTAATTCGTGGGCAGACCTTTCTAGTTCACTTGAAATCCAAATCATAGAAGCAAAAAGGAAAATGCAATCACTTTTGACATCGTTCAGAAGAGAACGGTAAAAACTCCGTCGAACAATATTTCAGCTAATGTCTTCTTAATCATTATTTCACAATCGGTTCGCAGTCCTCGGATCAATTGCGAACAGAAAGGAATTCGTTCCAGTGTGGACGTAGAGCGAGCATTTACAGTGGAACAGGAGCGAACATTTGCGAGCACGAGTGAATGTTCGCTTGGTGATTACGCGGCTTAACACACAACATTTAATCTTCGTCCCGCCGCGTTCGATTTCTCTACTCTCATAGTTCGTGATCCACGCGTCGGTCTTCGTAACGCCCTGCCTCTCTCCTATACACGTATTCTTTCCAAATCAGATCCCATCCTTTCTTCTTCATCCGTTCTATCCCATCGATCCCCGTCGCGGCCGATCCTATCCAACGCTATATTAGCCTCTATTATTCCACTGCTGTCGCGAACATCGCGATCGAGATCGTACAAAGGTTCCTTACTCGTTATCCCGCGACGCAACAGTTCCCCGGATCCAATCCTCCCACCCGTTAACGCGCGGCGGCTCTTTAACTTCTCGGCAAGCATGCTATGATTATCGAGATTATTATCACGGCCAATATCAACACGCAGATTATGATGAAGATCATTTTCTGTGGACAAAAAAAAGAAAGACACGACACGTATGAGAGCCGGCGGAGAGAAACATCGGATAGGTTACGACGCGACAGAAGAATCGGTCGAGTCGTAGAAAGCGTAGATACACCAACCGGAAGAATGGACACATCGAACACACAACCGTTGCCACGAATCGATCAAAAGCGAGACAGACAGACAGAGAAAGAGAGAGAGAAAGAAAGAGAGAGAGAGAGAGAGAGAGAGAGAGAGAGAGAGAGAGAGAGAGACCAGATATAATATCGATTCTTGCACAACCAAGAAGAACACCGAACGGACAAACAACGGACACCGAGCGACCAATAATCGTACAAACAGTGGGACAATAAGATACTCGGACAGACAGATAGAAATGGGACTGTTTGGAGTTGAGGGCGCAACAGAGAGAGAGATTAGATAGATAGATGGATAGACAGATAAATAGAGAGATAGGTAGATAGATGGATAGATGGAAAGAAAGATAGATTGATAAACAGGCAGACAGATAGAAATGGGACTGTTCGGAGTAGAGGGGACAACAAAGAGAGAGATAGATTAGATAGATAGACAGGTAGAGAGAAAGAGAGATATATTGAGCGCCCTGGTATAAGATCCCCTCAAGCGCTAGGCAGAGTATATACACCATCGTTTAACAAAAAGAAAAATCGTGACAATAGTGGGAGAGAAAGAGAGAGAGAGAAGCGAAACAAATATCTGTACACCGTAATGTAGTTTATCGCGAGCGTTCGCAAGCGAGAAGAAAAGCGTACGACAACGTTTCGCACCATCGCGCATGCTACCGATGCGTTCGATTTTGTTCGACTTCGTTCGACTTCGTTCGACTTCGTTCGATCGCGATGGAACGGTAAAACAGACGTTCTTTTCCTCCAGATCGGTTCGTTGCGACGACACACTGACCGTGGACCAGGAAAGATGATCGAGCCACGGGGTCGATTCGATCGACCAATCACCGAGTACCAACCAAGAGCCGAGGAAAAGGAACGAATTGGATGCTACCGCTGGAATATGGTAATCGAAAGACGTCGCGTCGAATTCGGGGAGAACGGGAACGAGATCGAATATAAAACGCATCGTTGAACACGCTGGCACGCGCATACACGTGTTACGCGGGGGACACACAGACACGCGTATGCGTATAGAGATTAGGTTTAGTATAGGTGTAGAGGTAGAGAGAGAGAAAGTCGTGAACAACACACCATGTATCGAACTAAGCGCCACCGCGACATGGCGGATCGTGCACCCATCGTTCCAAGCACGAAAACACAGCAACCACCCAGTCGCGTCGTGCGATTCTCGGATCGGTGATATATATGTAGGTATACCACGCACCGACAACACCACGCGACAACCAAATCGGGAGAACGCGAGTTAGTCGGTTAGCGAGCGAGCGCCATGGGTTAGTTGTAACGCATAGTTTTTAGTAATACGAATAGGCAGACAGTTCAGGGACAGAGACACGATTAGCACACTCATGTTCAACAGGACAGAGCGACACACGTAGAGAGACACAGAGGTACTATACGATAATGCATGTATACGAACGAACGTGTATATTCGAGCAGGTGAACTGGTAAAGGTGGTAAATATATCTGGTTGCGGGAATGTACACGCGTTTACACGTTTCTACGCCACGATGAATGCATACATCGTTACATAGAGATACACGCATATCCGTATAGATATATACACCATTCACATATGTATGTATATACAGGGTGTCCCAAATCGATGTGAGTCCTTGAAAGATGTGATTCCGGGGGTGATTTGAAACACCTTTTTCACTAAGGAAAAGTGTGTTTCAAATCACTCCAAGAATTACCCATTTTAAGGACTTACACCTATTTTCGGACACCCTGTATACATATCCAATTATAATTATGTACCCTCGCGAGTAAACTCGGTTTCCGCTGGGGGAAAAGTGATGTGCAAGGGAAAGATTTCCTACCACTTGGTCTCAGAGTTATTGATATTTATATCAAATTAACATTCGATTTAATATTTCTTTGAGTACTTGAAACACATTTACCAAGTTATAGGAGGCCCTTACCCTTACATTACTTTTTCCCCTAGAGGAAGCTGAGTGTGATTGTCAGTGTACACGTAGGAACCTAGGAAAACAAACAGACACCTATGCCACGGTGCTCCTTCGTTTTTTCCTAGTTTCCCAAGTCTTCGAAACAGGCCCAAAGGTCCCGATTCCGTATACATGTATGTAATCTGCGAGCAGCGATTCGATCGGAGAGACGTGAAAGTTAGATACAAAACGGGCTATTAAAGCGGCGTCGTTGTTTCGTGTCGAGTCACAGAAATTAGAATAACACGACACGCACACATATAAAGGAGAGGTCGAGAAAAAGAGAGACAGAAACAGAGCAAAAATACGAAAAAGCATGTACACAAGGTTTCGAGAACGAAATTCGATAGCAGAAAAACAAAAAGAACACGGCGAAAAAAAAGCGTTCGATGGAGATCGGGATGATATCAGGAAGCAAAGGTGTAAAATGAACTGTCGACGGGACAAGTGATCACGCGAGTAAACCGAGAGGTTTAGGGGAGGTAAACAAAAAAAAAAAAAAATGAGGAAACAGGAACGGAAAATCGACGGACGTTTGTGAATTCCGAGGGACAGACTCACCCGTCGGGCTTTGCTTTGGTACTTGAGCGCTTTCTTGGTGTCCTGCGTAGCTGTCTGCACGTAGTCCACCGCGTGTTCGACGTGGTACTCTATACGATCTATCATCTCGCCCTACGTGTAGAGAAGTGGTATCGTCGGGCCACGCCACGCCGTGCCGCAAATCCACGCAGCGTAACAAAACAAAGACGAACCGCCCTTTAGTTTTTCGACGGTCCCACGAACGATCGATCGACCGTTCGATCCAGACAATCCGAGCCTTACCTGACTTTCTACCAGCATGGCCATGTCCATGAACATATCGTGAAGCTCTCTGATCGAATTTTCTAATTTGATAATGTCGGCGTGGCGAGCCTCGATGTCCGCGAGAGTCTGTTTCGCTTGTTGCGTTTCCATGATAATCTGCGAGAACACGCATCCGTCAGTCGATCATGTCGCGAACGGATTCACGGACGCGAGTACACACGTTGCAGATCGCGGGATCGTACAACACCGACGAGGTATAAGAATAAACTTTTCATCTTATGCGAGTTGGTTGATCCACCTAAACTGCAGTACCGACACCTATACCTCGTCTGTGATCGTACGAAGAAACCGGAAGTAACTCACTCCTTGCGTGAAGACCGCCGAGTTTCCCTGTTCCAACATTTCCTCGAGTTCCTCGTTGGTGGTCGTTCTTCCCGCTGGAAATCGGCAATAATCGATCGGTTAAAGTGTATTTGATGGGCAAGATCGCGGCGACACCGTAGAAACGCGCTTACTGATTTCCAGCTGTCGCTGTATCCTTCCCTTGCATCGCTCTCTGTAATCGGTCTGCGTTCGATTGTATTCCGTCATCACTTCGACGAACTTCCTGGACAGCGTCGAGTGCTGTGTCTTGCGTATCCTCAGATCCGCCGACGATTTGTTCGTGTGTTCCTCCTGCTCGATATTCTGCTCTATCACTGAACAACGAAGAAAAAAAAATAATAAAAAAAAAAATTCCCTCGGAATAATAATCGCGTGCATCGATCGACTCTGGCAACGTCCTCCGTACACCTACCTTCTCGAGACTTGCTTTTTTACTCGATTTTTGCTTCGAACACTTAGGGTAAAGAAGGGTGTAGAAGTGTTCACATCGTACATTCAAAACGTGTATCGTATTTCAATAAAAGTATTTTTAATCGAGAATTATGAGTACTTAAAAAAATGAGTCTCATATTTGGCTAGTTTACTCTACACGCGCAACCCTTTTTGATTTAATACCTACAATACCTCTTCTACCGGAGGGGTTAGCAACACTTGGTCGTGTTCGTGCAATTATCGAATGGAACGATGGTAAATCGATTATTTTTTCGGAATCACTTACCCTTTAACTTGGCCCTGACTTTGTTGGCCGTCTTCTTGATGTCCGACATCAGGTCTTCCAATTCCATTTTGACCTCTGCAATAAAACAGAAACGCGATATTCTTCTTCCATTCGAGTTTCGACGCATTAATTTACCTGTTTCTGGTGTGAACGACAGCCATCACTGCAGTTCGATGGGAACGGAAGGACGCGATTTCGCGTCGAAACAATCGACGCTCCCGCATTTTAAAAAATGTGCGTACGGGTTCACGTGGACCTTGAATGTGCAACGCAACGGGTCGCAGCGTACCGTGGCGAGACAAATATTGGGTAGAAACGTAACAGGACGTGAAAAGAAAGGCACAGTCGCTCCCTTTCCGTTTCAGTGTCAGTCATTTGTCGATTAACCCCTTGCCCCATAAACATCGAGTCAGACTCGTGTTGACGATTTCAAAATCGATTCAACAAAAAACATTATTCAGTTTTCTTTGTGTCGAAGTGAAATGTAACGTTGCTGGCATTAATATTTCACTTTTACAGTAAAATTACTTTGTTGCCTCGGGCTTCGGACAAAAAATTAATTTACGAGGGTCTGAAGCATTTCTCCCTACATGATTATTGTCCCGGCGTGGACCCTAGTTTGGAACGATAATCGAGAGGAGTCTGTACTTGCATGCAATGAGAGAAATATAGGCTAAATTCAGATTGATCGTGTCTTCGACCGCTAGTGTGAATCTAGCGTAAAGATTTACCTAAAGGACAAATCCCACAGTCGGATGGGAGCTATAGTTTCCATTAAAAAAAAAAAAAAAAAACGTTTCCTATTATTAAATGTTTTTCAGAATAATTACAATGACATATTGACACTGAAAACATAAAAAAGAAATTTATTTCTCCAATCCATAGGGTCGGAAGAACTGTTACGATCGAAGAAACTGTTACGACCGGTAGTTCCGAAAGTGTTAATCACCACGTGTGGTCCGCGAGGATCCGACCAACGATTTCGAGTCAAGTACAGAGGCGAGGGCCGTGTTCCCCCTGCGTCGAGGGTGTTCGTTCGATGGAATTGGGTTAATACCAGGGGGGAGGGGGGTGGAAACGTACCAGACCTACTTCTAAGGCCTCTCGAGAGTCCGCCACGCTCGGGATACGCGGGACGCCGTTGAATTCGATCGAATCGTGTTTCAGTTCGTGTTCCGTTCACGTTTCGCGCCCCAGAAACATTTCGACTGGAAGAGCAACGAACGACAGGGCGCAAACGTCGCGCATCGTGGTATGCCCCGAATCGGTTTTGGCCCGTTGGCTGGGTGGCAGTGTTTCCAGGTTAGGGGTTTTTCTCCCAGATTTAGGGGATTTTTCTATCAAAGGGGGAAATCTAGGGGCAGACATTTTTTGGGCGGGAAATCTGAAGATTTTATTTTATAGAAAAGTCGAAATCAACTTTTCGTATGTTCAAAAAAGTTTCACCACAGACGAGGTAGTCTGGAGTAGACATTTCATTCAATCTATTTTTTCGGCCCATTTTGCTGGGGCGACGTCGCCCCATTTACATTTTAGTGTCAGTACCCACCGCAGCTTCACCGTTCTCATAACGTAGAGGTCGCTAAAATCACAGGCTTTTTAAGGTGTCGGTACTGCAGTTTCGGTGGGCCACCAACTCCCATAAGATGAAGTGTCTAGTTCTGTACCTCGTCTGTGGTCGCACCTTCGAAACGAAACAAACGGCTTCGGTCGGTCGCATTGCGTGGACGAGGGACATCGACGATGTCGAGAAATCGATCCACCGTTACCTACCTACGTCCTACCTCACAACCTACTCTATACCAGCCTACTGCCTCTTCTACTCGCCCGAAGTACTGCGATCCCCGTTACCCACCTACTACCTGCCTCTATAAGATTATTGTCCCAGCGCGGACCAGAGTTCGGGACGATAATCGAGAGGAGTCTGTATATTGATGTGCCTATCGATATATCGTTATTTTTTATAGATATTTTAGAAACTAAAAGAAGATTGAAATTTATAAGTTTTGTTTTATGTATACTTTCTAATAATAAATATAGGTATATTATTTGAAAAGTAACTTGTTTTCATTTCAATACTTTGAATCTTAATTTAAATAAAATAACTTCCTAATACTATGCAAAAACTTTTATTTTAGACCATTCTTTTTTATCCAAAATGATACTCTTCCAACTATATGCAACTGATTTTTTCATTCGTGAATTGATAGGATCTTCGTATCGATATTATATATCGTAACAATATTTTCCATGTATCGACATTTAACGAAGAAATATATATCGAGAAGGATTATCGGTATTGGAACCAATATCGCACATCTCTAGCCCGAAGCCGAGATTCCCGCGAATCATTCCTTCCATTCTTCTCCGCAACCAATCCTTACCGTGTCTCTTCCATCGATGCGCGATCGAAAGTCACTCCTTTTGTTCGCCTTTCGAAAACACTCGTTTCTTCGTTCTCAATCGAACCAACTTCCTCTCCCTACCCTTCTCGACGCGTCATGGATGGATCGAAACGGAATGGTACGATTCAGCGCCGGATGAAGGGTAGTGGGGGGTCAAGGGGGCCCCCACATTCCAGGGGGGGGGGAGGCTCTGAACCTTCCATTTCGTTATAATTAACACTAGTTTACGGACGTTTCTTATACATCTATTTCTACGGACACACGTTAACAAACCCGCACATTTTCTTTAAAAAAACAGCTCATTTTATTTGATATTCAATTTACGAACGTATTAAATTGACTCATATCCGTAGAGATAAGTATACCATGTAGAGAATTTCGAGATTACAAGGCATTCGAAATGCGTCAAAATGACGCGTCCCGTAAACCTAGTGTTATTCAATTTTATTTAAAATAACTTTCAATTTGTGAACATTTACGTATTTTGCTGTGCTCTATTAGAACCCACTCCCCTGCTATTCAACTAAGAGTGCTCCCAAAACTTTGATTGCTCTGGGCCAGCCTGGTACGATTGCATATTAGGTGTGCACGGAAGTATATGTGTTGCAATTAATCGAATTTAAATAACAAATAAGTTTTAACTAATAAGAATTAACCCGTTAGGTTCGCCTGTTCCGATCAATTCCGTTGACATCCAATTTCCGTGAGACTGTCGCACGCTGTCGTATACTCTCCGATAAAGGTCGAGACCAAGACGGAATAGAACGATATGCGATCGCAACGATACCGCAAATCGGGAAAAACTGGACGTCTTACACATCCGATTCCATTTGCTCTCACCCCCTAGTTTAGTTCCATTTTATAAAAAAAATGATCCCTGAAAAAGTTTACATCAATCAGACAAGAATGCTCTAGTAATATTGTTTGAACAAAATTTCGATAGGACTTCAGGAATTATTTTTTTACGAAATGGAACCATTCTACAGGGTGAGAGCAAAGAAATATTTACACTCATGAGTCACATATTTACACTCAATGAGTTGACCAAAGACGTGAGCAGTAAGTCACGAAAATTATTTCCTGATTGAGGAAAACACTTATGAGAAAAAATTGTGAAAACTTTTTTTGTTACAATCTGCCTCGGTCTCCCCTAAAGAAATGCCACCCTAGTGTTACACGTTACCGTTACGCTGTACGTTACGATTCGAATTATTCACGTTCCAAGGAGAAATGGAGCTCGATCGATCTTTTCGCTAGACCGCCTTCTCCGAGGTGGCCGACGGCAGACGTGAATGCATACTTTTTATCGCGTTTAATTTCTCTCGATCCGTTAATCTGTTCCCTTATTTCCCTGGAGCTTCGACCCCGTTCGTCCAGCCGCTAATCGTCTTTGGTGAGATCGAAAAACGGCCAGTAGGGGGGGTGACGAAAGACCAAGGGGAGAAGGGGAAACAGCCTGAGGTCGGAGGAAGGGTTAGGTCACGAGAGTTCGTAGGACGAGAAGGACGACGAATCGGCAACAGTTGGCTGCTACCTACACGTTAATTTCAGCCAAGTTTCGCCCACGGGATTTCGATCGACGTCAACGAAATAGGTTGTGGACGATGACGCGCCGTTTGAAAACACGACCGAAGAAACCTTTCCATCGTACGTGAAAATCACTTCCCCGAATGGAAAAAGAAAAGGAAAACTTGAAACGACGATGGAAGAAACAACACTCGAATCCTCCTTGCGGCGCACTGGGACCGGCGAGATCGATAATCCCGAAGTAATCGTCGAATCTCCCCTTCCAAGGAAAGAATCTTTTCCAGTATGGAACACGACTGATCTGCGGAAATAGACGAGGGAGAGGGGAAACGAGTCCGTTGGCCGTTTCTTCGAAACCGTGGACGACGTAACTGTATCTGAACGATTCAACGGGACGATATTGTTCTTACGTAAAAGAAAAAATAGGATCGTGCAGACGGGAACCAAGCATATTGTTAAATACATTTACCACCTAGCTGGGCATTTGCCATAGGTTACCTCTATAATTATACATATACATATATGTATCTGGACCCCAGAGCCTGTATATTGAGTCCACTTTTTTTTAAAAATACACTGCATGCTTCCTGTATCAGATATTTCACTCTTTCCGATGATAAATATTATTCCGTTCTATGTTGTCTAGTGTTTACTATAATAATCTAAAAATAATATGTTCATATTTTGTTCCGAACCGAACAGTGTAACGTCCACCACATAAGGGAATTAAAGCAATGTTCACCATTTCTTCATATGCAGGAAATCCTCAATGAGTGTTCGAAGACACATCGGCACTGAACATTAAATATTTCATAAACTAATGGCTAATTGTCTTCAGAATTCCAAGCTCTATCGCTGTGCTAAATCGCATTAAAAAGTCACCGTTACACCTGGGGATCTGTCTTTGTTAGTGCCGAGGAGCCTTCAAACACTCATCGAGGATTTACTCTAGAGACTTGTCTGAAATCCATTCAGTACTTCAAAGGTAGCAATTGTTCCTTCCTCGATTCTTACTAAACGGTTCCAAAGTTACGTTTCCGCAGTTTCGATTTGCTCTCATCTAAAGTTTAAAATTGTCACTTAATACTAGAACTACCAAGCAAGTCAAATGACTTATCAATACACTCTTACAAAGACGATTACAATGTTATGACAATACATTTTCTCAGATCTTTTGCACCTTTCATTACCGTATGAAAGTAAAGAAATTAGTGAATTTCTAAATTTCTAAAATTTCAAAAGTGTTTCACGTTTATCCACCGATTGAAGCAAATATGCGTTTATCGTCGGTAGTTCTAGTGTTAATATACTCTGACTCTGGGGTCCAGATATACATATAATCCCAGTCTGATCGCGCGAGGAGAATTTGTCGCAACACGTCTGTCGTCGAAATGTTCGAGGAACGCGTCGCGTTGCAAACGGCGACCACAGAATATCGTTCGAAACGGACGCTTTTCCAATCGATCAAATCTAATAAAAACTCGACCAGACAGACAGACAGGCGATAGTTATCGCGTGAAAAACCAAAAAAAAATCGTAACTCACTTTCATCGGTCTGTGGCGCCGACAGGATGGCACTGTGTTTTTTCTTCACATCTTCCACGTTCGTTTGGATTCTGTCTATCATTTCGCGGATCTCCTCCACCTGAATAAAAATAAAAAAGGGGAGGTAAATAACGCATTGATTTAAGCTAGAGATCGAAGGATAACCGACTCTCTAATCAAACTTTAAATAAAACCATATTCTGTACAGTCTGTACTCACTGAATTTATTATTTCTTTCTTTGTATCTAATTTTGTTATCTACCATTACCTGTTTTTGTGTGTGTACCAAAGGATTTACCCAGTTAATAAATTATTATTATTATTGTTAAAACCGTGTCATCTGCGATTTCTAGTGGATTTTACACTTTTCCGTCCAGTAGCAGTAGCCAAATGATTGCCATCGGTAAACGAATCCGTCGAAACGTAAAGATGTCGGAGATACATCGGACACGCGATACAAACAACGGATATAGAGAAAAAATTTCCTACTCGCAAATGTGCCGACCATGTGAACAACGCGTGGGTCCGTCGCAACGCTTCCAAATTCAATAAACCGTAAAGTTCAGTTTTCCAATCGGATACTGAACACGCCTAACGGATAGCTTCAGAACAAATATCAAAGCATTCAAGAGATATTCCCTTCGACGGAACGTTCCAATTCGACTTTCCCGCGCGTCACCGAATGTCGGGAACTTCGTATCGATCAACCAAACGGAAACCGCGTTTCTCCGCTGGACCATCACGCCGCGAGTTAAAGTTGCTCATGTAAATTTTTATATAATAAAATAAATAAGAAAAGAAATGAATTTTATTTAATTCTCTAGTCTTTCGAATTTGGCACAAACCACCTTAAAGGCCCATTTATACACATCCGTTCCGTCTCCGTTCCGTGTCCGTTCCGTGCGATCGGACTTTGTCGGACACGGCCCGGATGAGTATAAACTGCTACATATAAAAATACGCGTATGAGTGTCGAATCGTGTACTGTTAAAAAAAAAACAAAAAAGAAAGAATAGAGTTAAACAAGTAGAGGCAATTTATGACCATGGAAAAGCTTACAGAGTCGCAGAATCAACGGGGATTCAATTAATCCGGTCTAATTGTTCCCGACTGATGTCCAGCCTATTTCCCACGAGTTGGGAAGCTGAAGGCGAAACAACATTCGTAGTTACCCAACTGGTACTTACCTCCGCGAAGAATTCTGTCATAAAATCATCCTGCCCGCCAACGTTGACGGACACATCGTCCGCCACGTCATCGTCGTCCGACTGGGCCTGAAATCAAACAAATCATTCGATCATTATTCGGTCAACGATTTGAAAAATTGTTCATTCGATTCAGTTCATTTCTACCGTTTGTCATCTTTTCCGGTTTTTCTTAGAATAGGAATTTCTTCTTAAAAAAACGAGGTGAGTATTGTCAAACTCTTGATTTTTTCGGAAACATACCTTGTGAGTTTAAGCGATCTCCTATTCAAATACTAAATCAATAAGATCCATTGAAAAATCCAAATAAATAAATTAATTAATTAACACTAGAACTACCAACGATAAACGCATCTTTTTCGATCGATCGATAAATATGGCAAACTTTTGAAAATTGATAAATTAACTAATTTTTTTAATGTCGTATCGTAATAAAAGTTACAAAAGATCTGAGAAAATGTATTGTTATAACTTTTAATCATCGTTGCAAGAGTGTATTGGCAAATCATTTTGATGTGCTTGGTAGTTTCAATGTTAATTAATAATAAAGTAAATAAATAAATATGGTACTTTGTGTTTTTCTAAAATATCGCGTCGTATTTAAGTTGTTTGCCAGGTAAAAATTAATTGCATCGGTACGAGGAAGTCGAAGGGGCGAATAGGTATGGTTGAGTGGTTTGTTGCAAGGAGAGAGCAAGGCATGCTGGACCACCGGCCGCCACGCCGGTTGTCCTATCTCTGCTTCTGCTAGACTGCTCCGTATGCTTCTAATTGAAATCGGAACGTCGCTTATGGCGCGAAGACCTGCTAAATCGATAGTTACACCAGGCACTCGCGTTCGTTTAACAAACACTTATGGATTTGTCGTACTTCGAACCGCAAACACCTTCTTCCCCAAAACCAAATACCAGATACAGCCTGGGGCACTTCAACTACACATTATCACGGAAATGATAAATATTTATACATGTAAACAGATGTGCTTCGTTGTTTCTCAATACGATTACGCGCCGTCAGTTATCAATTACGATTAAGTACATTCGTGTAATCGGATCTTATTGTCCATCAAAGTGGACCCTATAGTCGTCGTCGTATCGAAAGCTCCCGCGTAATCTGGCGAGTTTAGTTTCGTTTGCCAGCGAAAGTCTAAAAAAAATGGTTTCTTTCGATCAATTCCTAAACGACTCTTAACGACTGTGTCGAGTTTCCAAAGTCGACGGCATTAATCGTTCGAGCGAACATCCCTCTATCCATTTTCATCGAGCTCTCGTCGTCGGCCTTTGTTCGTACCTCCTTAACCTATCTACCTACCTAGGAAACGCCGACCGAGCACAATTTCCAACGGAACACATCGTCCAATACTGGTCTAGCGAGAACTTATCGGTCGAATTTTCGAGTCCTGTTTCGCATCGTTTCGTTTCATTCCGTTCCGTTCCGTTCCATTCCATTCCATTCCATTCCGTTTGTCGTTGTCGCACCGAAGATGCGTACCGTTCCGACCCTCGTGATTTATGGTTGTCGAAGCTATTAACCCGCGGGTTGTTATGTAAATGCTAGAGGCAAGAACGTCTCTGACTATGGGAGACCTCTTTTTTGTTATGATTTTTCAGCCGTATCTAAACCAATACCTGCGACCTTTTTCAGCGGATGAGGAAGTGGAGAAGGAAGAGGTAGAGGAAACGGAAAAGAAAGAGAACGAGAAAATGGAAGAGAAAGAGAAAAGTGACGGACTGAATTTAGCTTTCTGGGAATGCTTCTAAATACGATAGGAAGCTAAAGTCCTTGTTCGAATTATAATTTAGATGGTCAAATAAGATCATTGACCGATGAGCGTGTTGCATTGACACGATCCAGCGTGACTGACAACGCAAACAAGCGAGTAAGATGGAACGAACGGTCGTGTTCGGTCAAGGTGCTGCTAGCCATGCCGCGAGGAGTGAATAGAAGTCGAGGGAAAGGTTTTCCGAGAAAAAAAAACGGTTGCTTCTACTGTTCTAATTGATTCACAAAACGCGAAAAGTCGATAAAAATGAACAAGTAATTGGTGGCGGATGCGCACCGCGCAGCAAGATACGCCCAGATACATACACGCTATTCATAAATGTCAGTCAACGCCTATGAGTCATCGACACGCGGTGAACGCATTTTAGACCGATCATCGACCAAAGAATCTACCAACTTTTTTGTCGAATATACAAACTTGACCGTATGTTTACGATGCCTCGATGACATTCGTAAGAGGAAATCTATGTTCGAAGGGCATTCAGTGGAGAATGCAGTCATGCCGATACCGCCGACTCTGTCATCTGTCATCGTTACGAAATAAACGATGACGAAAAACATGTATTGGCAAACACCTGTCAGCCACGGGAGGCACTGGTTTCTCTCTTCACCTCTCTTCCTCCACTCCTCCCCACCCTCCACCCACCCGTCTCCCTCCTCTTACACACGGATCTATCTATTTATCCATCTACCTATCTGATCCTTTTTCTCTTTCCGTCTATCTACTACGCGATCAATTATGTATCTCTACCTATTACTTGCTGTTGCTTCGTTTGTTCGCAACATTATTCCCATCGGCGTATCTATCCGTTTGTTGGCCTGATCAACTTGCTCCCGACAATTGACAGTTAACGAACGTTCGACACCTAGGAAACGCCTTCTTTCCGAGTTTCCCTCGTATACGAGATTTGTTCAGGCATCGGATTCGATCGATGTCAGGTCTGTGCACTTCACGAAGAAACGGTTCGTCCGCATGCATCGTAAGAAACGGCAACGAGTTGCACGTATGCGGATCCCCGTGGACGTCTATTCATTAAACAAGTTACCGCATAACGAAACCACAACAAACTCAGGGACTGATATTGCTAAACGTAGTAATGCGCGAAAATATTTGACGAACGTATACGAGGGAACATAAGTATTTCGGATACGTGGGTGACAGAGAAAGCGCGCGAGTTAAGAAAAGGAGGAAAAACGCGGACGAAGAACGAGAGAAAGAAAGAGACTAGAATGGACATAGAAAGGGAGAGGGAGAAAAGGAGGGAGAGAGAGTTAACGGGCTGGCAGGTTGGTTGGCTCGCTGGCCGAACGTTCGGTGAATCGGCTTAGTTTCTAGTAAATTATACGTAGATACTTGAAACTCACCGCGACCAGAGCTGCTAATCTATCCTTGGTCATGGCGAGGCTGGTGAACAATTGCGAGTCAGCGGATGAATAAAGTGAAACAACTAGCAACTAATCCCATTCACGATTTTATCCATGTACGACGACGAGCACGACCACTAAAAACTAAAGGAAACGGGCGCACTAGCGGCGAGAGACACGATCGTAAAATCGATATACTCGCGAACTAGCCTGCTTCTGCAGTGCCGTGCGTTCCGGCACGCATGCGCCGGTGACGTCAACTCCGCTCAGGACCGACCCAAGATTTCATCGTATCCCCCTCCACGAACCCCTCAACGACGCAAACAAAACGCGCGTTGTCACGATTTTTTAGACATATCGTTCTACAAACAAGATACCACCGAATCATTCAGCTTTCCAGCTTTCGGTATCTGTAAATGCAAATTATTCTTTTAATACTGTTCTAATACGTCATTTCGTCAGAAATAGTACTCATTACAACAGCTCGGTGGCGCCATCTACCTGAAAAAAGAGCAACCTGCTACCCAAATAATACAATATTTCTACTGGTAGATGTCCCTGTTCTATATTTTTGCGATTCTCTTCTCGAGCAAATTCGATTTTCGCTGGGGGAAAAATGTCATGAATTTATTTCAAGTACTGAAATAAATGTTAAATCGAATGTTATTTTGACATAAATTTTAGTAATTGTCATTACCAACTGGTATTAAGCCTTTCGCTAGGGGAAAACTAGTCTCTTTTTCTCATTGTCGCCTTTGATAAGACAAAAGAGACGGCGGACATAGTGATAAAGATACCAACAACTTGATAATATTAGTAATATCTAAGACAAACCAAGTTATTGTGCAAAACCCTATTATATTAGTATATTCCACTTTGATAATGTGGACTCATTAACCGAAACGAAAACTCTCTTATCGTTCATGTTGTTTTCTTTTACACAATTTTTAACCGTCGAAATTTCAATCGCTAGGGACTTTCTTCTAGTAATAATATGAATCGTTAAACGATATTGAACATCTCCAGTTTGTCCATCTAATATCTTTTCGTTTTTATGTACTTCATTACAGTCGTAGTTCGGCTTCTTCCATTCGTTTTTTGGTCCGCGTTACGTTACGTCGAATGAATGGTTTTCAAGCGATTTAAAGTATATTATTCTCGCTATTTTGCGTCAGTACTTACCGAAAACGGTGTACTAACGTCGCAAGGTCATCGTTGACGAAGGTAAATACTTGTAATTACGTTCAATTTGCGAAGGTGCAACTTCGATGTTTTATCGGCGAATAGCAATGGCTGCAATGCGACATTCGACATTCAGTTTACCGTCATCTTTAGTCTGTTACGCGTTAGTACGTTTCAAACGTATAGGGTATTCTCGATAACATTTCGTTAAAGTTTTAACAAGATGGTTTACTAATTCGTCACTGACATAGCCATGCTTTGGTTATCGAATTTTAATAAATATATTTTTAATTATTAAAAAGTAAAGGAAGATGGAGCAAGAATCAAGACGCAAAGGACCAAGAAGTCCGAGTGCAGATTCAGAAGATTCCTCTCATAGAAGGAGGTCTAGGAAATATGATAGATCTCCATCTCCAAGAAGGAGTAGATACCGTCGTTCTCGGTCTAGGGATAGAAGATCACGTTCAAGTTCAAGGGATAGAAGGAGAAAGGAGTCCAGTCGTACACAGCAAGAATGGAAACAGCAAACATCTCAGGCTCAAGCTTCTACACCCAATACAAACAATTCTGGTGGCTATGTTCCAGCAGTTCATAATCAATATCAGGTATAGTTAATCCTACATTTTAAATGAAGATTTGGCCGATATTTATTTCTTTTTTTATATAGAGCTTATTATGTAGGAAAATTATCTCTTGTGCAGGCACCTCCACCACCAAACACAAGTCAACCACCGCCACCTATACCAGCTTACAATCAAGGATATAATAGTTACAATTACAACTATGGACAAGGCTATGACTACACTTATCAGCAACCAACTGGTTATCGCAGTGTAAGTTTAGCAGAAAAGATTTTGTTCACAAAAATAATGTGTATCCTGTATAAGAATGACAATCTTATTCCATGGTATCGAAATTGTATTGCTAAAATAGCAATGCAATTAAGCTGTACTATTTATGAGGAGCTTGTTGAATGTTACCCATTTGCCAGTTTAATCGCACAAAGTATGATTTTGTGTAAGTAATTACAAAATTGCTATCACGCTACCAATGTGTGTTTTAACACTTCCTGGTAGCGCAATTAGTTTATGGGGATGATGTTTACGTTTGTTTGTCTCGCGAGCTGTCGCGAATCCCCGCGTAAGTATAATACTCGCGTTGTTTATTTTATTGGCATCGACATTGGAAACCAGTATTATTGAGCAGATGATTCATCTTCAAGAATCTTCCGTGTATTATCCAAAGTTCTGATTTGAGTATGGACGAATAAAGGTAAGGTTCGATGGAAATACTGTATGAGAATTTGAGATCAAATGTTCCTTTATTTTGTTAGGATTATCCACCGACGAATTGGCAAGGGAATCAAGTACCATATAACAATCAGCAACCACCGCCACCTCCAACGTTAACGTCTCAGCAAGAATCGTCGAGGCCGGTAGACAGTGGTTCCTCTGGATTAGTTTCATCCATGGCTAGACCAGAGGATGCTAAGAAGGAAGGTGCGTGTCTTTGAATTCCTTTTATTTTCATTAGTGTATAGTATCGGTGTATGTGCACAACTTTAAAATTTCTTGTATTTTAAATGACCAGCAGCAATTGCAGCTGAAGTAAAACAGCAAAAAGCAACCCTCGCCAAACAACGGGAAGAATACGTTAAGAAATCAGCTACGTTGCAACGCGAACTGGAAATCCTGCGTCAACAGTGCGATGAAATTGGTAAAGAGGGTGGGCGCGAAAATAATCGCATCATAAAAGAAAATCAAAAGTTGCAGGTAAAGAAACTGTGCCATTTTTCGAGAAAGAATGCACCTCGTTTTGCCTTTCACTAACTGTCCCATTATCTTTCCATTTACAGATTGAAATACAAAACAAAATGAAGTCGATACATAACGTTATCGACATGCTTACCGGAATAATCGGGGACAAAGCGACCGTTGATGATCTTAAAAGCAAATTTAAACTAGAAATTAACAAGCGTTCGAGGAGTCCTAAAGAAGATTTCCCGAAAGGGAAATCGGAATCACCGGACAGATCGTCGGGCTCAGATTCCGATAAGGAGTCGAAAATCGAAAGGGAAACGAAAGATCGAAGGTCTCCCGAGGACACTAAACCTATGTACAATTTCGTGCATTACGATCCCGAAATGCATTGGTGTAAAGTCTGCGATATATTTCCTAAAACGGCAAAGGAATATTTGAATCATCTGCATAGCAATGAGCACAAAGAAGCTTGCTTAGTAAGTTGCCTTATGGTTGTCACAGTAGAGCCACTAGTAAAAAGCCTCCTTCGACTTTGGTATAGGTACTTTAAATGCTTGAATTAAAAAAAAGAAAAAAAAAACCGTATATCCTGATTGAAGATCGTTTTCATATAAATAACATTTACAATTACTAGAACAGGAAGCAGAAATATGTAACTGATAAATTGATTTACGTTGTGAGAGAACAAAACGGATTCGGTTAAGACTATGTATTTCTATTTCGAACAATATTTCGTGTAAGGATGATATATTATCGTATAACGATCGACGTGCAGGTACTTGGTACAAAGTCTGATTGGTGTACCATAAAAGTGTCACTTATAAAAGTGTACCACCGAGTAATTTCTCGTGAAGTATATAAACCGAGCGTTTCACGATTAATGTATTGTTCCCTGCAACAGGAACGCAAGATAGTTGATATGCCATGGCATGAGCGGAATGGAGAGGGAACAGAAAAGGAAGTGCCCTATTATCCTGGACTGCCAACGAAAAGAACACCAATTAAAGGTATGGATCATTTCAGTGGATAATTACTAATAGAATACAATTCCGTAGCTTGTGCACAGACACTGTGGTGTCCGGTATGTATTGAAGAAATCTACGGCTATGGTTTGCTCAAAAATTTGTCTGCGGTTAACCGAAAAATATCCGATTCTCTGCCGTAATGTGTAGTAAAGAAAATGTTTAACATTTTGTTTCATTTTTGGATTTTGTTTTGTTTTCTTTTTGTCTCTCTGTCCGTGGGAATAGATTTATTTCACAATTATCTGCCTGTGCCGCGGAACACTGCTTTCTTTTTGTTTCCGGAGAATGTCCTATACCTATGCGAAACGATAGCAGCAAATTTTGTAGCAACAATGATTAAACACCGTAGAGATGCACTGGATTTTGAAAGGGCCTCGAGGAGCACACTTTCGAGCGATTTCAGATAGTTTCAGCTTCTATTATCGAACTGTTTCTCGAATTATTCTTCGCAAGTGTATTGTTCGTCGGATCGTCGTACGTAGGTCAATCTTTGGCAGTCAAGAATGAATAAAAGAAGACTTTGTCTATGTGAAAATATCCACACTATGAAAAGCAATGTTACCATAATGATAGTGCGTGCAGAAATTCAAATAACATATTTAGTTATTCGAAAATGTGTAAACTGTGACAATTCGCTCGTGTTAAGTATTTATTATATTTATTATATCTATGCATACATATATATATATAAGGATATATATACATACATACATGTTCATGATATACATTATTATAAATTGAGATACATTTGTGAAACATACTGTAAGTGCCGAAAAATATGGTATAAATTACGAATATAAATTTTTCTTGATAGTTTAAAATTTAAAATTTCAATATAAACAAAATAGAGAAGGCAATAGCAGTATGTATGGAAGTTTACTTACTTTATGTAATTTATTATTTTTATTTCACTTGTAAAACTTCTGTGGCGTATCTGTACGAATAAAGCATGAGTTCTTTCCCCTCTCACCTTTTTTTCTTCTAGAGATCAACATGGGACGATCGAAGAAATATTTAATGTTGTCAGCCATTTGTTGAGCATCTTTTAATATATTATTTTTGTTTTCAGTGACATGAATGTGTCGTGGCAGAATATAAGGTCATTCTTTATGAACTTAAATTGTTTACCGTTTTCAAAGCTTGAGCGATGCTAAGCGACGAATCATTTGGTTATAGGTTTGCAGTTCTTCAGCGCTGCGACGGCATGGTACTGTAAGCTTTGCGATTCCTGGATAGGCGATCTTCATTGCGCGAGTTTGCATCTGAAATCGAAACAGCATTCCGAAAACTATTCCGTAAGTTTGCCCCAGAACGTTGAATTGAAATTTACGATAAAATAACCGTAGAATTTATATTTTAATATCTTTCTTTTGTTTTTCTTTCCAGAGTTTCGTGGAACAGAATCCACATTGGGAAACCGATTGGATGGCTGATCGCGAGAAAGCGTTCTCAGAGGAAAAGCACAAGCAGATACAAATGGAGCTGCAAAAACATAAAGAGGACGATCCGCCGCCGAAGTCGAAGAAATCGAAGAAGAGCAAGAAGAAGTCAAAAAAGTCGAAGAAACGAAGAAACAGGAGCAGCGGCAGCGACAGTTCCAGCGAGTCCGAGAACTCTGACACGGACTCCGATCAAGATATGTCGAAGAGTATTCGCGTCGCTATGCGAAATAAAATGAAGGCCTCGACTCAGGCGATCCTCAACGAGGAAATAGACTATCATCGAATCAAGTTGAAAGGTCACTGGTCGAAAGTGACTCAGCATTTGAATCAGCCGCCGACTCCGGAACCACAACTGGCAGAAACCGATGACAGACAATTGTTGAACTCGATTCGGGACAAGTTGAAAGCGAAGCAGGAGGAGGAGATGAAATCGATTGGTAATCGAAGGTTGAGTCAAGAGAAAACAGTCGAAGAAGAAGAAGAAGAGGAGGAGGAGGAGGAGGAGGAGGAAGAAGAGCAGGAGCAAACTTCATTTTCGAACAAATCCAAATTGGAAAGCTTAGAAGCTTGGGGACCAAAGGAACCGCCGAAACCGTTTTGGATAAAAAAGGAAGAAGAGAAACCACAGCCTATAGCTAACAAGCCGATTGAACTGCCAAAGCCAGAAGAAATGCCTAAGCCTCACATGGGATTCTGGACGAAGCAACAAGTGAATATGACTGTGAAACCACCCGAGAATAAAACTGTGGAAAAAGACGACGAGAGAGATCGGGAAAGCGACCGATACAAAGAAGATCGTGAGAGAAAGTATGACAGACGGGAGGATAAATACGATCGGTATAGCAGGCACGATAGAAGACGTGGCGGACGGGATAGGGACAGGGATCGTGACAGAGACAGGGATCGTGATAGGGATAGGGATCGTGATAGGGACAGGGACAGGGATAGGGAGAGGGATTATTACGAGGATCGAAGAAAACGTGATAGCAATGATTCCCCTCGTCGCGACAGGAATTGGCGTGATAGTCCAAAGAGAAGCTACGATAAATATGGCAAAGATAGAAGAGACGATAATTCGTCCAACGATGAGTCTAAATTCGAAAAGAAGACCAATGAGTCCGCGTCGAAATCTAAAAAGGGTAACGTGCAAACAAAAAAGTCCGCGCCTCAGGTATCCAAAGGAAAGTTACCCTTCATCGGTAGATTACCACTGTTCAAGAAGAAAACCGAAGAACCAAAATTGCCTGAGAAGGACATCACGCCGCTTCCGTATCAACAAAGTAAATTCGAGGACACGCCAAAGGTTCCCAATGAAATCATCAATCCACCAGGCGTGGTACATATTACCAAACTCGCCACTCCGTTAAATCTTGGCAACAACAACAATAATAACAGCAGTAATAGTGGTAATAACGTTAGCCAGTCACCGGCTCAAAGTAACAAGAACCAACCGATGAAGATTTTGGTCGCTCCGCCGCCGCCAGTATTAAACGAAACTAAACCAACGCAACAGGTAGTCGACATGGAGATCGAAGATCAGGTGGAAGAAGCACTGATAGAAGAACCAATGATGGAGCAGCAGAAACAGCCGCCAACTGTAGCTAAGTTACCTCTGCCACCTCATCCACCGCCGCCCTTGAACAGACCGCCGCCATCTTTTACGGCTCAGCCGTCGTCGCAACAACAAGCTGTGCAAAGCAGACCACAGTTTTCTACGAGTCGACCTCCACCGCCATTCATATCGAATCCACCGCCATTTGTTCAAAGTCAACCGCGCTTCCCTGCTCATCAAACAGTGCGACCGCCCGTTCAAACTCATCCGCCGTACATGACCAATCCACCGCCTCAAATGGCCGCCGTTCCGTTTGTTCAGAATCATCAAAATCCACCACCACCTCCAATGCCAACCGTGGAGGGGGGAACGGCGGATATCGCGGAGATACCAGAACCTACTGAGAAACGAACAGATCCAAGCATTCCTCTGCCCGACGACTTGCAAGAAGCGTTGAACATTATATTCCCCAAGGAGGAATCCGAAGCCAAGCAACAAAGTCAACAGGAGACTAATATCATGTACTCGTCTATGTACAGTATGTTAGGGTGCGTCGGTTACGGACCAGAATATATGGACCAACCCCCACCGGAAATAACGCAGGCAGACGCGGAGGTGGACACGCAACCTGGACCAGACGATTTGAAAATGTTAGGCATTGACGAAGGAGACACGATCCTATAAAAAATGAAATTTTACGAACTTACACGTACAGAACTGACTGTTCTCTTTTGGTAAGGTTTACAGATGGACCTTACGAATCATTCTGATAGTTTGTTCACTATTTTTCTTTGAAGCGAGTTGTTACTCGCCAGATGTTGATCCGTTTGTGAACCGACGAATGTATTTCTAAATGTAAAATTCATATGATAACACATGTTAAAATGGAATTATGTAATTATGTAAACTAGTATTTTAAATGGGAAATAGTAAATGTTTCTCCATTGTTTACTGGTAACAAATCAACCTGGTATTATTATTATTATCGACTGTTGTCATAATGAAAAATGGAGACACGAGTATCACGCGAAATATTTACTATTTTTTATTAAACGTACTATTTTCATTCAGTTTTAACTGATTTTAAAAATTTACAGAAACTTCAATACCAATGTTAAAACAATTATTTTGCATAAAAAAGAAACTGTATTTCATAAAAGTTTGTAATTTCAATTTACATGCGTAAAGATATCGTGGTTTTAATGAAGTACTCTAGACGTGCAGGTATTGGCTTCATCAACATTCAGAATATGCTTACTTTGAATTCCACTGTGAGCGGTATAAACAACGCGCTTTAAACAAATTTTCCAATTGTACATTTTACTCGTCAGTAGTATTCCATTAATAAAATGATGAAATGCGAAGTATGAATTGATGTTGGATAAGGGACACAACAAATTAACTAAACGATCAAACAATTCTATGCATTGTTTAACTATACTTTATTTCTTCTTATGGAATTTCGTTTTCTTCCGTTGGTTGATAATCGTTTTACGAAACTCTTAAAACAGTATCACATTGCTTCGACCCACAAAAGCGTAAAACATGGTGTTTCTTTTCGTTAAGACCATTAAATATTGCATGGCACAATACATACCACAAATTATGTCCTAGGCGTAAGTGACGTACATAATATCCTCATTTACTATTGTCATAACACTTTCGAACATGTCACTTAATAATTTAACAAGAATTCTCACAAGATGCATTGTATTTTTCTACCGTACAATGAAACGAATGTGTACACAGGAATTTTTGACTACTGACTTTGTATCTACAAGATACGTAAATCGTGTGTAATCTTTATTACTTTCAAGTCTAAAATTATTTATTGACACGACTCGTGTATGAAGCGAAATGACATTTTATGCATGTTTTTTTAGTTACTTCTATTGAACACGTAATTCGTCATATTAGTTTTCTTAAAAATGCCATTAAACGCCATGCACGGTACCCATTGCATCTTCCATTCGGCATAAAAAGATCGACAAATACAACGTGCTTTTTATTAATTTTAGTTTGCTTAAAGCAACGCGTGTCTGATGAATTTCTCGAATCTACCTAACGATAGGTATGTCAACTGTTAAAGAATCATTATAGTAACAATGTTACATTTAAGCCCATTGATTTTTAACGTACTCCCATGTAACATGGAGTACAGTATCAAAAAATCTCTGTTTAGAAAATTCTAAAAAAACATTCGCATATAGGAAACAGGTAAATATTTCATGTATATTGGAATGATATCTCATGGAATGAACGGTAAGTCTAATCGTTGAAGCATAGGTGCGTCGATATCTAATTTCAGCGCCGAAGCACAACAATTATGCACGAAGAATAACGTGTGGTGTCGTTCGATTGTATCGTGCGAAATGCAAAGTTCAGATTTGCAGTACAAGCCCCGCGCTTGAAATATTATCACCACCACCGGCAGTCTGAGCCGCTTCAGTGCAGACCAGAACAGGTGCGACGCATACTTGAATGGAAATATCATCGGTTCCCGTTCTCAATATTTCGTCCCAACAAGAAACTGGTTTATTAATATCCAGTGCTATCCGAGTACCGTCGATGATAGACGTCGAGAAGCTATCATCTAAAATCAAGGCTGCTTTCCTAACGTCAACCTGAAACATTTTAAAAATTTCAGTGAATCCTGATTATTTGCGACTATTTGCTTAAATGTGAGACATTTACTAAACCGTTCTACTCCAACAACTTCCTTTAATCCTTTTGGTAATTCATCGGGCACTCGCGGAGGCCGAATGGGATACCAAAAGTGTTAAGTAGATCATATTGTAATCAAGGAATACCCTATACTTACATAACTTGTCGCGCATACGTGTCTGTGTGCCGTTAACGATGCTTTCGCTGCAGCGGCCATCGTATTCTTCCACGTAGTCCCTTTTACAGTAAATATAGCCTGATACGCTAACGTATGTACATGAATTCGCGTAAGCTCGCGCGAATTGAGAATTGACTTGCTTTTCATCCGTATCAATTTAAACAACGTTCGCATCTGATCTAAAACCGTCGCGATTCGCGGCGTCGAATTGGCTACTAAAGAAATGTTTCCATAATACATAGCATTATGTAAATTGGCAATTTCTTGCTCGTTCATTCCCAAACTGTCCGCGAACGGTATAACCGAATCGCACAATTCGAACAGTAATTTATCTTCTACAAACGATGCCATTTCGAAATGGATCCTCGTTAACGGCGATCGTTCCATCATTTGCTTCTTCACCTTAAGTAAAAGCTTCTTCTGTTCACCTAATTTGGAATCGGTTAATCTCATAGAACTGGTAAAGATTTCGTGCATAAACATTCGAATAACAATTACCATCTGGGAATGGGTAGTTGTCCATCATTTGTAGGCCACTGATAACAAGCAAGTTAGGCTGATATGTAGATAACAGTTTATCGAATGCATCAAATGAACTTATCAATGGATTAATGGCATCGTTGTGGACTATATATCTAGGAAATTGTTTCAGTATGTTGTTAGTATCTTGGCCACTTCTGTACAACGGTCCCCCAAAAATTGATTAAACATTTTACCTATTTGCTCTAGCGCTGGAGTAAGGACCCCAAACATCACCGTGTTTATACTCTATAATTAAATGAATATCGTCCCGTTTCACTTCTCCCCCAACAACATTGATGATCTGAGGTATCATTTGATGCAATGACTTCGTCAATTTTGCGGCAAGCGTCACGTCGCATCCCTCTCGAGCGAATCGTAATGCCATAACAGCTGCATTTCCACCGATAGTAGAATAAGAGGACGGAAATGAACGAGCTTTTGTAACGAGATCGTCGAATAATGTTCGGTTCGGCATGTATCTCCTAAAAAATTAAGAAACATTTTAGATATGATTGTACTGAGAAAAATTGTTTAAATATCGACATCGAAAGTCAACTAAAGAGATCAAACGATGATTACATACTCTGCAGCGGCTCCATGTCGGAAGTAATAAGCGAAACTCTTCAACAATTCCAATTCTGTGTTTATTTCATCGAAATGTTCCGGTTGTCCAATCTCCTCGGAATATTTTAACAACTGTTCAGCGTTCACGAAAACGTCAGTGCACACGCCATAACCTATTGCGACTTTCGGTCTCGAAATGATCACGTGTTTGTTCTCAATCCTCTCTAAGCCGCGAATTAAAGTTTTCAGACGCTTCTGAAGAACATTTTCAGAGTTTCGATAATAAATCGCGACTAAAACCATCAACACAGTGACAACTGTGCCGAATTTCAACCCCTTGTTGTACCCCATATCGAACACCAATCAACACCAACAAGAATAACGAACCAGCGCCAGTGCTACAATCTATGTAATTTCTTAAAAATCTAATCGATAGACCCAACGTAGACGCTCCTTATCATTCTGGTATCATTTAGCCTCGTGTGAAAATTATTATTGTCGTCCCTCGATAACACAATAGTAAAGATGCACATAAAATGAATAGATTTCGTTTGATAATATTTATTTAAAAAACAATACCATGTTGAATCATTCGAATACATATCGATATCCATACTTGTATACGTACGCGTCATACAATCTTCATGTCAATTAAAAAGTTATTACCTATAGTATTTGTACAATTATACAGCATGCTGATATCTATCGTTTTCAGAATATATGAAGTCTTACAAACAAATAGGAGTTATGTATTAGTAAAAATACAGGGGCAATATAGTACAACGTTTTCGCTGTATATATGTTGCGAAATTTTACTCGATATATAAAAATATTCATAGTCTATAATTGTAATTACTATCCCTAAATAGTAGAAGGTACAGAATTTGTTAAATTAAATCTATTATGGGTTGATACAAATTACAATGCTTGGCGACCGAAGACAGCAACTTCTGACATCCAGAGATCTTAATTACTAATACACACGGGTTTGAATATTCGAGATTTAAATTCTTAAAATGAATATTTTACATCGAAACAGTCGCAAAAATTCTGCCTTCTACAAAACGATTACGAGGGATCATTCGCCTAAAATTGATACTTCTTTGTTTTTCGTATGAAGACGCATATGTTTCTTTAAATTGTCAAGCCTGTTACACCGTCGATCACAGTAATCGCACTGATAAGGCATTAAATTGCTATGCACCACTACGTGACCATTCAGATGACTAATTTGTTTGAACCGTTTTCCACAAATGCTACAGACATACGGTCTCTCGTTCATATGAGCGGATGTAATGTGCGTCTGTAGATTGGTCTTTCTTACGAAGGTAGCCTTGCAGACGTCGCATTCAAACGGCCTTACATTCGCGTGAATAGCTAAATGAGACTTGAGAACATTCTTGTGTTTGAAGTTTTTCTCGCACAAGTGACATTGGAACGGCCTTTCGTCATTGTGGACTTTCTTGTGAACGGAGAGATGAGCCAATTGCTTGAACATTTTCGCACAGATCTCACATTGGTACGTACGCCCATCCTCGTGGGCGGCGCTAATGTGACGACGCAAAGTGTCCGCCAATGTGTACCGTTTTCCACAAATTTTACAGCGGAACGGACGCTCGTTCGTATGGGTCATTAGGTGGCCATTCAGGTTCCTCTTTTCAAGGAATCGCGCGCCGCAGACGTCGCACTGATACGGCTTCTCCCCGTTATGCACATACATGTGTTTCTTCAACGAGTTCGAAAGACTAAATCTCTTACTACAAACTGTGCACTCGAACTTCCGTTCACCAGTGTGAACCAGCATATGGGACTTCACGTGTCCTGCCTGTTTAAATCTTTTCCCACATACGGCACAGGCAAACTGACGCTCGTGAGAATGAGTAAGTATATGTCGCTCTAACACACTTTTAGTAGTGAACACCTTTTTACAATTATCGCATTCGAATAGACGGAAGGACTCTTTCGGTTTCGAGATATAATCCTCTTTGTGCGTCTGAGTGTGTGCCTTCAATGCGCTCAGAGAGTCGAACTTTGTCCCGCACACCGCGCAACGGAAAGAACGGTAATCCGTGTGCGTTAATGTATGCTGACTGAGATGCCCTAATTGCTTAAAGCTTTTACTGCAAATTTCGCAGACGTACGGTCTCTCGTTCGTGTGAGATCGCATATGCCTTTTCAATACACTAGGGAAGCTGAATTTTTGTTTGCAGTATGTACATTCCAACGATGAGTCGCCGTTATCTACTTTCTCGGAGGCAATCTTTTTCCTTTCCTTAAGAAAAGACAAACGTTTCGATGCTTTAGGACTTTCGTCCGTAATATTAGATTTCTTTTCATCTAAATTTACATCCGAAGAGGTATTTAATTGTTCTGGCGTCGCTTCCGATATTGTTTCCTCTTGTATTTTACCTCGTCTCGTTCTACTCAAAGTAGGTAACTTAATATGTTTATGAGATTGTCGCACGTGTTTTTCGTATAAACTTAAAAATTGAAAAGTCTTGTCACATAAATTGCATTCAAATTTTTTACCTTTGGTATGTGATTTCATGTGGTTCTTCAAGTGACCAAATTTGATGTACTGCTTCTGACAGATACTGCATTTCAAATATTGATTTTCAGAAACCGAGCTCGTTTTTTCATCCATTGCCGATTCATCTTCAAACTCTGTATGCATATTTATTGGTGCGCTTGTAACATTAACAAAATTAAAATTGAGAGGATCCCCTCGAGACTCAGTTGTGACCTCCCTATTAGAATCACTGTCACAGTCGCTTGACTAATGAATTAAACAATATGGATTACTAATTGACAGAAAAATGCTAATATTATAACTTAATATTATACTTACACTATCCAGATCTATGATTTCTTGGAGGTCTGAACATTCAGTGAACTTTTCAGTCTCTTCCATTTCAATATTAATACTTGTATTACATGTCAGATTAATCCACTCTTCTTCTGTCCATACATTTTCTATCATATCCATTGCAGTAATTCTTTCTTGAAATTCTTCATGCACGTTTTTTCCAAATAGTATATCATAAGGAATCCTTCCATTTTCACATTGAAATGTGGAATTTTGAAAAATCTGTACTTGTTTCAAAGCTTCCCACCATGTTCTTGTAGGGTTTTTCTGTGCCCAACATTCAAGCAAGTTCTTAAAATCTCTGCTGTTCTCTTTGTTCTGAGAGATTTCTCCATGTAGTATAACAAAATCTTTCCACAAAAAGCGTATTTCGCGTACAACTTGCTCTGCGAATTTACGTCCATTATTGCTCTGTAAGACCTGTGGTGCTCCAATAATTACCAATATATCTAAAAGTTTTGTTGCAACTGCCCTTGCTGTATTCTCATGCAAACTTTGTAGCACAACAAATTTAGATATCTGATCTTCATAGACAAAGAAATACTTGTAACTGCTATTTAATTTCACTGGCATATCTATGACATCGATTTGTCCTCTATGATGCAGTCTCTGGTTCATAATATCACAATTAGAATTCATTTTTTCAATGCTATAATGATCTAGACAGTTTAGGATTTTATACAGTCATTTCAGGACAATAGAACCATTAATATGTATATTATAACTCTATTTGATCTATTTTTTGACTCAACATGTAAATATATATTTCTTCAGAGGTAGGAAATTAGGTACCTCTTAATGAAAATTTAGTTTACGTCTTGCAAACCTAATGCAGAATGTTTCAAACTATAATTTAAAGATTTTGTCTGGCACTGTTTCTGTTCCTGACACATTCATTGTTTACATCTTTAATCCGTCGAAAACTGGAAAGGGAATTAAATAATTAAGACGCATTAATTTTAATAAATACATACAAAAGACGTATGCTTCAGTTAGTGTATTAACGAAACATGTAATCTTATAAAAAATAATAGTGTTTAATTCTAACCTAAGCAATTCATTGCAGGATTCATTTTGCATTAAACTAAAGTTTCCGTAATTATTTTTAAAAGCACGTGACATCAACTCTTGGAATTGTTTCATTTCATATTTGTTCATGGAATATACGTTATTTTCCACTCTTCAATTCAACAATTAAAGCTGAATATTCGACCGTAAATTCTCGTTTACCGTTTTTAGGGTACGTTTTCATAGATGCGACAAATTGCATTTAACAAAATCAGTGGAAATGTGAATCAAACTAGAAATGTCAGAGGTTACCACGATTACCACTGTAAATAGGGTAATGTCTTTCAATTTCTCTTCTTTTTTTCCTATAGCAGTTGAATAATGAATGTGTTCAGTATTACTACGAGCAAAATCTAAAAAGTTTTACTTCTATCCAAATAATATTTTAAACTAAATGGTGGGAGGCCCTTCATGTACCTCACTTTTCCCCTAAGGTAGAAGTTGGTAGTAATTGTTAACCAGTTGCATCTAGAGATGGCGTGCAAAATCACTAACGGTGATTTATCACAGTGATCGCCGAATCACGATCACGATCGTGATTTAACTTCATTTACGACCGTGATTGCGATTTTTTTATCTTGAGTGAATTTGCTCACTGCAATCGTAAGTCCTTGATCTTTAAACAGAAAAACGTATTCAATATGATTTTACGATGAATTACATTACTGTGTTTGTAAAAATCAGTAGAAAAAACAAGAAATTCTAAAAGAATGATTTGCTAGGTAACATGTAGATTATAATTCGTAATCATTAATTTATTCATTATTCTTCATTGTTTCTACTTATTCCTTCACTTTATACGATATAACCCTAATTTTTGTTTTGATGTCGTTAATGTGAAATATCCAAATTATGTATCGCGTGTAAAGAACTGTTAGGTTTCTCCACCAATAAGAAACGATCACGGGAAATCACGAATCACTGTGAAAAATCATCGTGATTGGGAACGAACGTGATCGAATCACGAGTGATTCACAAGTAGCAGTTCACGCCATCTCTAGTTGCATCTGATGCACCCAGGGCCAGCCAATAGCGTTCTGCCGTCTGCCACGTTCCCGGGCTGTCGCGTTGTTACACGTTACACGTACGAGTTGCGGGAAAAGTCTGCTCGCCAAGCACCGTGTCGGGCACGGTTGAGATCCGTGTTAACGATTTTATTTAATCAGTGAAAGATGCAAATATTGCGACAGTTGGACGTGCACCCAAAGGTGCGCGATGAAGCGGACATTCTTGTGCGAACATTTAGTGGTGCCGTCGGTAAAATGTTTCACTTGTCAAAATTCATACATCTACCGCCTGTCAATTCTAACTTTGCACGCTGTCTGATCAGTTTATTTACAAATGTGATCTCACAAGATCGTTTTATTACCAGTATAACATCGAATGAATTTTTCTGCTGTTTTGATTACTATTTGGAAAATAACATGAGACAAGTACTGTGCATTGCTAACCTTAAATTCGGCATTATCGAATAAATCTACGAATTTGTATTAACTTCTTGCCTGAGAGAATAATTGTTTATGCTTCCTATCGTTCTCCACTGTACAACAGACATTACGTGACATGTTCGTTAATGCTTCTGACTTCGTATTGCTTATTGTTTACGTTTGATCCGTCGTAAATAAAGTCTCTAACCTATTTATATGTATGTTTACCGTGTGCCCTCGCGTGTGCTTCCAGTGACGATCATCAGCACTATTATTATGGGCATGTTGTTTCTGTCCGAAGTGAATTATTACCTCACGCCTACCCTCAGTGAAGAACTGTTTGTGGATACCTCAAGGGGTTCTAAGCTAAGAATTAATTTGGACATTATAGTGCCTGCGATATCATGCGATCGTAAGCGAATATTGTATTCTATGTAGTTTCTACTAACGACAGTAGCCACAAATTTACTAAACAGAGTGACTTTTAGTTTTATCAATAGATGCTATGGATACTACCGGCGAGCAACATTTACAAATAGAACATAACATATTTAAAAGACGTTTAGATTTAGATGGGAAACCTATAGAGGATCCAAAGAGGACAGGTACATTAGTTGTTAATATTCAAAGGGATTAGTATCTATATAAAGATACCATTAAGTTGTATTTGTTATTTTTTTTTTAATTCATTTTATTATAGATATTACTGACACAAAAGCACTTAGCAAAACTACTGCGAAGGTAATTAAATTATGTGCAATTCTTTGGTAGAGATAATTCCCCTTTAAGAAACTGTAAAAAAATTTACAATTTTTTGTAGACAGTAGAAAGTACTACTGCTGAAACATGTGGAGATTGTTATGGAGCCTCTAGTGACACTACCAAGTATAGTATATATATAAGTAATTTATAAATATATATTACAGATAAATTTCCTACAATCGATTAAATTAATCTTGTAGGTGTTGTAATACTTGCGAAGATGTCAGAGAAGCCTACAGGCTTAAAAGTTGGGCACCTCCTGATCCAACAGTAATTAAGCAATGTCAGAACGACAAATCAATAGAAAAGTATAAACACACTTTTACCCAAGGATGTCAAATCTATGGTTACATGGAGGTGAACAGAGTGGGAGGAAGTTTCCACATTGCACCTGGTGATAGCTTTTCCGTTAATCATGTACATGGTAAAGTAAATGTACAACACTTTCTCTTGTGTGAACTAATTGTATTTCTCTTATTTAACATCTATTACGTAGTAACAATACGGTCATGATTCACAGTGCATGATGCTCAGCCGTACACGTCTACTCAGTTCAACATGACCCACAGAATTCGCCACTTAAGCTTTGGGTTGAACATCCCAGGAAAAACAAACCCCATGGATGATATCACTGTAGTTGCATTGGAAGGTACGTCCTCGATCCTTAGAAATCTTTTATTAAAAAATCAACAAGTGCTCTCAAATTACAATCCTCTGTTTCCTAAATTATGAACACAAGTACTAGCATCTTATCCCAGTTCCTATGGCCATAAATGTGCCAAATGTTCCACCACCTTGAAGCATTATTTTCCCAACACTGTGTATGAGTCTTGTGCCTCTTAATCCACACCTGATAATAAACATATCATTACCTCCTTGACCAACTAATCCTATCAGTTTACTTATACTAGATTACACATATATGTATACTTAAGTGCAGAAAATCCTCCGAACAGAGCACCAGATGATAGGCCGACACAAAATCCAATCGTGAAACCCATTTTTATCTTGTCCCAACATGTAGGAGTTTGTTGGTAGATTCCTCCTGGTACAACTGGCATTTCACTCTACAAGTATAGAATTTATTATGATTCTATATGCTCTCCTAACCTATTTGACATATTATGATTAAAACAATCGAGATTCCGCCGGAAGAATTTAAAAAAAGTATCTCTAATTCTAAATTTATAGTTGATACCGTAATCACACCGACACATTCTATCCGTAAGGGTAAAATTGTTTTTTTTAATATCTCCTCATGGCTCGACTCCACTAAATTTCACTAATTTCATGTACCAACGAATTTATTAATATCTTTTACGGCCAACATCACTCACATTTTGATCAGTAAAATCTTGATTTCGATTCACGTCTCACCGTACTTTTCTTTAAGTTATGATTTTTAAATCCTTTGATAGGCATTCAACACATCGGTAGGGTAATCTAGAAAAGACGCCATGTTACTTGAATGCGTGTATGAGCGACTGATGCGATCGTTACTTCCGGTCCCGAGTTTGATTCTTCGGGTAGCGGGTTATTCAAATGGCCAGTCCGTGTAACAACGTGTCAAGAACTTATTCGAAAAGTTTTCACTTCGAATTTTGACACGTAAAATACTGGGGTTGGTTTTCCGTGCGTTACTGACACGTACCGTTTCAATTGAAACTCCGTGATAACGTTCCGCTGTTTTTTTTCTCTTCATTTTTCAGGGGCGATGATGTTTTATCATTATATAAAAATCGTGCCCACAACGTACGTTCGCGCTGATGGCTCAACATTATCGACGAATCAATTTTGAATCAGGAATGCCCGGAATATTCTTCAGCTACGAACTTAGTCCGCTTATGGTGAAATATACGGAAAAAGCGAAATCGTTTGGTCATTTCGCAACGAACACATGTGCCATTATCGGCGGTGTGTTCACCGTCGCCGGATTGATTGATTCATTATTGTATCACTCTGTTAGAGCAATACAAAAAAAGATAGAACTAGGAAAGTACAATTAAGAGTCTAGATAGATCGATAGATAGACTGCGGATGTTTATGCAAATTTCTGTTTTTATATATTACTTGACAGAAACTGGGAACGATTTTACCAGGATTTATTAAGTTACCAACAAAATAAGTCATTAATGCGTGTACAAATTTTGTGTCATACATGCTTTACATTCTTTTGTACGCCATAAATGCATAAAATCCGCAGTCTATTAGTAGATATGGAAAATTATTATGATACATGAAGCTGTGTATGTACGCTGTAGATAGGTCTAACATCTGTCGAAGTAACTGCAATTTTGTATAAAACACAAAGGGCTGAGGGGATTTTGTAAAGTAATTGATGATTTAAAGCATTCATCAATTTTTTGATGCTGATCCAGATAACATTGTATTTCTTGAGCAGTTTTTTTCTGTAACATATAGACTGCGGATATTATGCATTTATTGTAAATACGATTTTTTAAAACTCAGAACAATAAAAAATTTAACGAGCTTTTTGGTTCATTTGAAAGAATAGCGTTAACAAATTTCTTTCGAATTATCATTTCTGTAAATTAGTCTGTAAAAATATGTATTTGCATAAATATCCATATTCTGGAATATGTATACATATACATAATTGTAAATAAAGATCTGACATAGACATATGTAAGGAAATTTAATATTTAAGTATCTATACAATAAAAGTTATCCTGTTAAAGGAAATCAATAATGCAAATATTTATTATAACGTAATTGTATTTACATTTATTACTGTTTCAACACTAAATGGATTTTAAGAACATATTGTATGTATTGATTGATGCTTTTGCTACATTTTTACAAAATTTAATATCATTACCAGACACTATATCCAGTGGTGATACATACAATGGTTTTGTAGGATCATACTGGGTCTTTTTTAATTCTGTTAAAAACGAATGCCTTTGCTGGAGCCTGATCTTCCTACAAGTTAAAATCTGTGGTTGGTTGACTAAAATTTCATGTGATAACTTCATTACATTATGCGCATAATCAAAACTATTCATTATTTTGCTCCTGGCTGTAATTAAAATAAAGATTAATTTTCTGTTAATGATATTAATTGTTGTATGTTAATCCTATAGTATTTACCATTCATCCACAGACGTGGTACTCTCATCAGAAGAAGTTGTGTCTGTTCTTTATCGAAACCCATTTCCTCTCTCACAGCGAAAGTGTTCTCCATTAAATGTTTCATCTGATATGTTATAAGTCTAGGACACTTTACAGCTAAAAGTCGTACTCTATGACCATTTAGTTTGAAATGGTGTTGGAAGTAACCTAATCTCCTGTCTATATCTTTTATTTTAAATGACAACCAAAAAGGATTAGAATTGATTATTTTTTGTACCATATCAGGACTAAAATGATGAGCCATTAAATATCTGATCCTTGTGTGAAGATCATCTAAGTCCTCTTTGAAAATTTTAGGATTATTGGTGATAAACTTGCCAAGATTTTCTGGTGGTACTCCACAATCATTTAAAAATCTTATATACGGTTTTATGTCCTTGTCGAAGTCAAGGCTTAGGATCATTTCTACTACATCTCTGTCTGCTTCTAATTTATATAATTCCACTCCTAATTTTACTAACTGCTGAATGGTAATTGAATCATTTGCAAATCTTGCAAAGTTATAAGTTGGCATTACACGAGGTTCAATATGGGAAAGATCTTCTGAACATACATCCAATGGTCCTAATGGCTTCTCATTTATATCATATAATGCATCATCAAGATCATGATTAAATTTGCCTAGTACTGTAATATTTTCTGAATTGTGTTCATTCAGTATAGCTGGTTGGTTTTTGTTTACAGTCATTGTTACATTGTCAAAACTACGATTATAGGTACCCATTACTGTAGTAGTTTGTTTTGCATTGCATGTGTCCCTTGTTGTTGGTACAGTTCTATTTATATCTCTATTATAATTATAATCTAATTTCTCCAAAAATAAATTAATTTCTGCTGGATCAAGTACATTCGACCTTTCTGTTACATTGTCATTACATTCATCATTTACACAATGATTTACAGAAACGTCGTCTTTTAATCTGTTCATATAACCTTCTTTACCATTAAGCTCATCAGATTCTTGCAAACAGTCATTCTTCAAATTTTCATTTGGTACTTTGTCTTCAAAAATTTTGCTTGTGAATCTTCTATAAAAATCGAAACCAATGCGAGCGTTAGTGAAAAACAAATTTGCGGTTCCACTAGTTTTTCGACGTGCCAGTCGTAAAACCGTATATGATATCGAATGTATCATATCTGAGGATAAATAATTAATACAAATGTGAACGAATAGTATTAACTTGTTTGAAATGTGTAACTTATCCTTTAAATATGAGAAATAACATCAGTGTTATGATAGAATTGCCATCTTATTGTATATCTGTCCTTTTTCTTTCCTTACACTGCACGACCTCTATCACTATTCTGCGTTCTTAATACAAGAGCAGCATTCTTCACAAGAAAGTATAGCCAAAGGAAGTAAAATTACATGTACATATCGATGCATACCTTTCTTTGTGTATGATCTCCTGAACATTCTACAGTCCTAATACAAAAGCAGCATTTTTAACTGGAAATTCTAAGCAGAGGAAGTAATGATATGTTCCTCACTTTCTGTACCTTTCTCTTTCTTCGACTCCTATCCTCTTTCTATGTTCCTAATCCAAAGAGCTGATTTTCGCCGAAAGTATTTAGAAGATAGTGCGTATAGGGGTTTAATTTATAGTCATTAAGATATGTCAGCGTTGATGACTATTTAACAATAAATTGAGTCTATTAATTCTTCAATTTCCTTATAAATTAACGCATTAAGCAATAAGAGATGAATTTGATTATCTGTACAATACAATTTTATTTTTCATATGCAGTTTACATATTTATATCAATGATCAGATTTGGGTGGGTTTTCGTTACCACTTGCGCGCTCGGGTGGATTTTCTGATGACGAAGGGAGATGGTCCGTTCTGTAATCGAAACAAAAAAAATTGTATATTGATAATGTTGAAAAAGTTATCTTTTAAATACAAAAGTACAATTATTTTACATCTTTAAAGGCACTCTTTCGTTAAACTTTCTCCTCTCAGCGTCCAACAACTTTTGCCTCGCCGAGCTTTCCTTGAGCGTTTCTTCCATAATCAAATCATATATTTGTGTGGTATTTAATCGAGTTGATGGATTGGTACTCCTTGCAATTGTAGTTTTTAGAGATTCAAATATATTTTCTTTTCCTGCGTTGTCTGCAATAGAAGAGAACATACAAAATTTTTTTTACATTGTACATTCTGTCTAGGCCAGGCTATTTTATTGTTTTACAATTTTAATTTGTTCTTCGTTATTAGTCGTTGGATGTATAAAACGTTTCAATGATTTTACATGAAAGAAGTTGTATAGAAACGTGTAAATATAACAAATAAAAATTTACACTTTCCATATAATCGTAGCAAAAAATTAACATTTCTTTTACCAGACAATCTTGAGTCCTTTTCTCTTTCTTCTAAAAGAATGTAAGAGCGTCCGATAAACTTTCGTTATTGTCAAACACCAGTCTTTGTGCCTGGAAGTTCTCCTCTTCTGTTGCACCCAAAGAAAGTGTGCAATCATTTTCAACATCTTCATTGTTGAACGACTCCTCGATCGGAGATCTGTGAATTAGTCCATTGCATATGAACAGGGAAGCCCGAACTGATGATCGTAGCAAATTGACTCTAAAATAGGAAAAACACAATGTACTAGATTAACCAGATTTAATGTTTTCAAAAAGAAAGGTGTGTAAAAGTGAATTCACTTACAAGCACCTGGCGTGCACGAGTCCAAAAATAATAAGTGATGTAGCTATCAAAGCTACAAGATAAAGAAACATTTTCGATATGTTCAGTAACTGTTAAATGGTTCAATAAACCATTTTATCAATTGACTGATATCCATTAACAAATGATGATTGATCTGACCTACTATGATTCTTTGCATAAAAGTGAAACAAGCAAGATCATGCTGTTTGAAAGTTGCAATATTTTCCTATTACTTGGTACACTTTCATATTGCAATCGAAAAGTAACGTTCTGTTGTACATTTATATTCAATACGAGTGAAGCTGTTTGTCATATTTACAGTAAACGATAGAAGTATTTATACAGTAAGAAAGTGCAAATAGAAAATTACATTTTTTATACCAGCAGATCTGATTAAATGGACATTAGCATAGTAAATAACTTATACTTGTACGTTTGTTACTATTAATTTATATATCTACACGTAATATCCGAATATAAATATTTTAATATAGTTATTAGCAAGATTTTTAATATAGTTATTAACACTCTTTTTACTTTCATGTTCTTACTGTATTTGTTCCACGTAAGCTCTCAGTTGCGGTTAACCAAGGGGACACGCTTGCATCTGATGCTTGGTATTTGAAGTATAAAATTTACAATCTTACTGTTATTTGTACAAGAAGATATATTAAACGATACACTTGTATTCTAAAAACTGTTTATTTAAGCATTAGATGTTAACAAACAAAAATAGTAATATCCAGCATCAGACACCAGCTGGTATTAAATGTTTATATCTATATACAAAAGAGTATCCAAAGGAAAAATAAAGATATATCGAAACTAGATCACAAAATATGTATACAAAACTTTACTTTAATGGTTAACAAATCTGATGCATAGCGCAAACAGTGTTTGTTTTTTTTTTTATCAAACGACTTATACATATATGCACATGTATATACGTACGTATAAATGCTATGGATTGCTCTTCAGTATTTTATATTAATTTGACAGAACGTTCAGGAGGAGAAATACAAATTCATAAGTGGCGTTTCTTTCGTGTCTCTTATTTCTGTTCGTTTTCTTTTGTAATAGAAAAAAAATATAATGTCTAAAGAAATATCAATTCATAAACGTTTCGGGTGAATATATAAAAAATTATATATAGTTTGGTTTCCAAAATCCCAAAATTTAAAAACCAAATAATGTTCCTTATATCCCACAATAAAGCAACAACAATTACTTTAAACACATAGTGACAA